GAGGGCCCATTGCAATAATGTTAACGCATTTTCCCTTTCGTATTTTTCCCGCCAACAATTGACACCATTGCTTGGACAACCTTCATTTCCCAAATCCTTCCTTGGCAAAATACCAAATGACAGGGTTTTCCCCCCCTTCCCCCCTAATTATTTAATTGCTGACCATACCGCTAACAGGTTCTAAATCCTACGTCGTCAACATCGTTGCCCCCCAGCACTGAGACAGATAAAAGGATTTCCCCCATTACCTCTCATGATGTCATCCAGATGGCTAACAAAATCTTTCCCCGCCCAGAAAACACATTTCTCTGCCTCCCACTCCTTTTTCCCAAGCAAAAGCCCTATCCATTACCTAACTGGGCAACCCCAACAACAACAAGTTTTTTTCCTTCCTTTGGGGACGTCCGTCGGATTTCCCATAGTCGACTACATTCGTTAGGTAGCACTCACCTTCACTTTTGGAATTCGTCAAACGTTTCGATGGTTTTCGTTGGGGCTTCTAGGGGTCTCATATGCAGCCAAATGCTTCCTTGGTGCTCGTTGGCTTCCCATTAGAACACCCACATTTTGCAGGTAGCACCCAAAAAAGGGGGAAGTTTCCACAGTAGTCTTCTGGGGCCTCGTTGTTTCTGCCTCCCAAAAAGTTTTGATCCTCAGCTTGGTTCCATTTGCCCGGCAATTGCCCAAATCCCCCTTTAACCCCGGGGATCCAACAGGAGGGTTCTTTGAATCCTCTTGTTCTCCTCCTTAATCGCCCTTAAAACGGGGGTTTCCCCCTAGTGAAAAGCTCTGTTCCACAAGGCGCGTACTCCCCCCCTCTTTTCCTTATCCATATCAGAATAAAAGAGATAACACCACAGCACGTACATCCCTTTTCGGAGAAACTAGGATTCCCCTGAGGGTGTATTTGAGGACCCGGTTAACCCCAAGAAAATATAAACAAAGTTTCCCCGTGGGCAAAGGAAACAAAATGATGTTCAATGGGGAAATTCCAACTACTCCCTTATGGAAAACTGGGGGAGATAAAACTAGAACAGAGTATACTATGACTCCGGGCCCTACAATAGACGAAAAATAATGTAAAGGGGCCTGGGGGGTAGTATTTTCTGAGATCTCACTTAAGGATCACAACAGTGCCAAAAATGCACGGCAAAAAAATGATAGATGGGAAAAGAGAACTTTTAAAAGAGAGATGCCCCGCCATGATGATCCTTTTCAAACACTTTTCTCTCTAGGGTGGGAAAACTGCGACATTAAACTCCTACAAACAGTGAAATCGCAGATCTAGAGTGTACAAGATCCTTTACTCATTATAATTCGTCAAGACCTTTAACTACTGGGAACGCTTGGAACACTTGACTTTTTCTCGTTGGAACGCAGGAGGGAGGAAAATTACATAATCTACACTTGGAAAATCTGGAAGGAAAGGTCCCAAATCTGCACACAGAAATCACTCCCCACGAAAGTAAAAAGATGGGGAGGCGATGCAAAAACCGCCAAAAAAAGTGGGGCGCCATTGGTACACTAAGAAAAACACCATAATGTCCGGCCCCAAAAAATGTTTAACAGCCCCCATCAAGCATTAGGGGAATTTCCCAAAAACCCCCGGCTGCCTTTAAGAGAGAGCTGGACAGAACCTAAAGTATGCCCCATCGGGCTGTGGTCGGTTTGGATGCGTGCGGGAGCATAACACCTAGTTGTCAGGCCCCGATCCATCGGGAGGCCCGGTCAGGCCGGGGCCCCGGGGGGGTTGATCCCGGAATAACCTCCGGGATCTCCCGCTAAGGAACCCTAAACTCTCTTTCAGTGCTGGTAAAGTTGCTCAAAAGAGGCTCCTGGGTTCAGATTCAGAGAGCACACAACAGGTTTTTCACAGAGCAAGTACACGTCACCACTCTGCCAAAGACAGGGTGAGGGCACTTTATGTGGTTTTGGCAAATATCTTCGGATCAAACACCCAAGGTTATCTGGTGGGGTGGGTTTAAAGCCTCGCTTACACGGCGAGGGGCCCGGGTTCGATTCCCAGCCAAAAAAACATTGGACGTGTTTCTTTCCCCTGTTGCTATGTTCCCCATCAGTAAAATGGGTACCTGGGTGTTGTCGACGGTGTGGGGTCGCATCCTGGGACACTGACCTAATTTGCCCGAAATGCGGGCAAACAAGGGACTTTCTATATAGTGATGTCATTGTTATCAGTTGGCTGTATACCTTGTACATGTTATTTTAGTAAAAAAAAGATATTATTATTAAAAACCGAGGTGTGTGTGAATATCTGCAGTTTGTACTGAGTGGCAAGAAGCCCCTGAATTTCTTTTCTTTCCTCAGAATCAAAAAGGGTGTTGTGTATGTGTGTCCAGCGTAGAAAAGGGTTGAGGGGATCACAAGGTTCCCCCGAGGGAAGGAGGGGTTTGTTGGGGGAGGAGGAAAAATTGGAGGAGGCGAAAGAGAAGGTGTGGGAGAATGCTATGTGTTTTTCCCCTTTCCCTTCCCCACAACTATACACACATCATCAGAGTGTTCAAATAGCAGTGTTTTTTTTTTCTCCCTTTGGGTGTAACAGTGTGTTGTGTATTGGGGTGTGCAAAAAGGGGGTTTGTTGTGTATGCGGTGCATAAAGTGAAGTGTTGTGTATAGTGTTGTGCTGTGTATAGTGACTAGTTGTGTATAGCGATGTATAGTGCAGAGTGAAGAGCGGGCAACGCTAACATGGCCAGCTAGGCCTGCCTGCCCTGGTTGCCACCTCCACTTCTCCCAAACTTCATCACCTCCCATGAGGCCGTGAAACCACCAACCACATCTGGGACTACATTCTCCTTCGCCTCGCTACTCCTTCACCATCAACCACACGTGTCAGCTTACCTCCAGCTCAAGTTTACCAGGCAGATTGAGGGATAGCAGAGGATGTAACTAGCCAACCATAACACCGGGAAAACACTGCACCTAACAATGAGAAAAAAAGCACATCAGGTGTGGGGAGCATATTGGGCCCTCATTAGGAGTGGCCTCATCCGTGCACACAATGGGTGTGTTGGGTCCTGGAGGTTACCTGGAGGTTACCTGGAGGTTATTCCGGGGATCAACGCCCCCGCGGCCCGGTCCACGACCAGGCATGGGCTTTTTGCAGAGAGAAGCTCACATCCTCCACAGACAGGTGAAAACCCCCCTGGCAGCTTCCTCACTTGTGTTGAACTCCTGAAGGCATTCAAAATCCCGTAGCTCGATTGCTAGCGCACTCAACTCACACACTGAGGTCCGAAGTTCGAATCTCCGGTACGGCTGGAAAACATTAGGACGTGTTTCCATAGGACACCTGCTGTCCCTGTTCACCCATCAGTATAAAATGGGTACCTGGACGTTAGTCGACTGGTGTGGGTCGCATCCTGGGACAAAACTGACCTAATTTGCCCGAAATGCTCTGTATAACAAGCGGCTTTCTGTAGAGTAGTATGTCACTGATGTCAGTTAGAACTGTATACCTTGTACATGTACTTGTAGAAAGTAAGATATTTTCTCATATTCCTAAAGCTGCTCGTCATATGCTACAGGAAAATTCACAGACCTTCTAAAGTAAGTGACTGGAGGTTCCACCAGCTTAGAAGCCCGAGGTACCATTAAGGCTTGGCGCAACCTGCTCCTGTTTAGCAACGTCTACTTTGCAGTTCTTTCAAGAAGCGGTAAATTGCTAACCACATTAATCACCAGAGCAGTGAGCAACTTCTTAGATAATTGTGTCCCTTTGCCCCATCATCGTAGGAATCACCGGGGAAAATCCAAGAAAATTCCACTGAAAACGAGAATATTTGTGCACAGATTATCAAAAAACGGAAGAAGACAACACAATGGGAGCAATCAGAATGATCACAAGTTATGACACAGTTGCTTCCAGAGATGAGGCACTAACAACAACCCTGAGGATGACCCCATCTTTGGACAGTTAATTTTGACAAAATAGAGCAATAATGTCATTTCCAGCAGGATCTGCAGGAGGTTACATTGGAATATGACCACAATGCATCAAAGAGATGGTAAATACAGTGCTTTGGCTCAGCTGCATCAGTTCTCCTTTCTGAGTTAATAGCCTTCGTAAGCAACTGTCTGGCTGGGCAGATTCCTGAAGAAATTAAAACTCTTTTTCTTAGCCTCAGTATGTGCTTTGGAAAAACGAAGGATGGGGAAATCAGACCCATTGCTGTTGGTAACGCTCTTCGTCGTCTCGTTGTCAAAGAAGCAGTAAGAAATATTCACACAGAAGCTGCCAACTTACTCCAGCCAAATCAACTGGGCACTGGGGACTCTCATGGCAGTGAAGCGGCAGCTCATGCAGCAAGTGCCTACATCAGGAACTTAAAAGAAGACTAGGGCTTAGTAAAACTACATTTTAGGAATGCCTTAAATCTGGTGAAGAGACGTGGTCTTGGCAGCTGTTCCAGAGCGGTTCAGCAGAGTGACCCACTCACTCTGTTTATCTTCTGCATGGTGATAAGGGAGGACAGTGAACTCAATATCTGATACCTGGATGATGCCACTCTGGCAGGTATGGAAGAGTCTCTGCTAAATGACTTACAACTCTTGAAGTCACAGGGAGAAGTTTTAGGATTCATTCTCAATCCCTCCCTCAGTGGTGACGTGTACTCAGTGGTAACGTGTACTTAGCTCTGTGAAAACCTGTTTGTGCGCTTTCTACGGATTGAACCAAGATGCCCTCCATCGAGCAACTTTACCAACAGCTTAAGGAAGAATTGAGGATGGCGAAGATGGAGATTCGGCGACTGACTGAGGAAAACAAGAAGATTCGTAGTAGTCCTCCAGTTTTGAGTCCTCAGGTCAAGAAGGGAAACTGGTCAGTGGCTGGACAGCAGGGAACGAAGTTGGCGATCAAGAAGACGAATGGAAAGGTAGAAACAATGAAGAAGAAAGAGACTGCTGTGGAAAATGTTGTGGAAACATCTAATACATTCTCAGTGCTACCCGACGAATGTGAGGCAACTACTGGGAATGTAATGACGAACGACACCAAGGAAGGTAAGAATATTGTTGTTGTTGGGGATAGCCAAGTTAGGTATATGGATAGGGCGTTCTGCTTGAAGGACAGGAATAGGAGACAGAGGGTTTGCTTTCCTGGGGCTGGGATGGAGGATATTGTTAGCCATCTGGATGACATCATGAGAGATAATGGGAGCAATCCTATTATCTGTCTCAGTGCTGGAGGCAACGATGTTGGCAGAAGTAGGAGTGAAGACCTGACTAGCAGGTATAGGTCAGCAATAGAAATAATTAGGAGGAAGGGTGGGAACCCTCTCATATGTGGCATTTTGCCAAGGAGAGGAGTTGGAAATGAATGGTTGTCCAGGGCAATTGGTGTCAATTGCTGGCTGGACAAATACTGTAAGGAAAATGCAGTAACATTCATTGACAACTGGGACCTCTTCTTTGGCAGAAATGACATGTATGCCAGGGATGAGGTTCACTTATCTAGGTCTGGGGTGGGAGCACTGGCAACTGCAGTGGAGGGAGTTGTTAGGACCTTAAACTAGGAATAGTTAGTGGTATAGATTTTGGCAGGAAAACAGTGAAGTCCCAGTGTAGTAATATTATGAGTTCTAGGGGAACTAGTAATAAGCAGAACGAGGTAGATATTGAAAAGCCAGTGACACTAGGTGATAAGGACAGTAATAGGTTTAGTAGAAAAACAGAAATGAGCAGGAAGGGTAAAGAGAAAGGAGAGTCTTTTAATGTTTATTATGCTAATAGCCGTAGTGCTAGGAATAAGATGGATGAGTTGAGATTAGTTGCTAGTGCAGATAACATTGATGTATTTGCCTTAACTGAGACGTGGTTTAATTCAAAAAGTCGGGACATGCCTGCGGAATGTCACATTCAGGGTTTTAAATTGTTCCAAGTAGATAGAAGTATTGGGAATGGGGGTGGGGTGGCATTGTATGTCCGAGATCGCTTGAACTGTTGCATAAAACCGGATATTAAGTCTGAAGTAACACATACAGAGTCTGTTTGGATAGAATTTTCAGAGGGGCATGAAAAACTGATTTTAGGTGTGATATACCGTCCCCAAAACTTAGATAAGGACGGATGGAGACTACTATGGGAGGAAATTGTTAAGGCCACAAGGCACGATAATGTAGTAATTCTAGGAGATTTTAACTTTAGTCATATTGATTGGAATTTCTTGACTGGGAATTTAGAATCAAACGACTTCTTAGAAGTAGTTCAGGAAGGAAGCCGGTCCTCAGATCTGAGACATACTGTGTTGGTCCAGATGGGGGCACCAAGCATAGTTCTTATCGCCTGGTTTTGTACGACCTCCACTCTTTGCCTGCTCTGCGGGAAGAGATGAGCTAAAGCCGGTGCACCGTAGTCAATGAGCGAGCGTATAGCTTGTATATAGTACAAGCGAAGTACATCTTTGCTTGCGCCTGCACGGTGCCTCGTCATGGCTCTCATGGCGTTGAGTCTGAGTAGAGCACGTGACCTGACATACTCGGCCTGTTTCTGAAAGGTCAGCTTTTTATCAGTGTAGATTCCCAAGTACAGGTAGGAGCCTGTCCACTCAAGTTCTATATGCTGAATACGTAATCTATTCATAGGATCTGGTCCCTTGAACATCATTGCAAGAGATTTCTCGGCCGAGATCTTGAGGCCTAGTTCCTTGCAAGACTGCGTAATTAGGTCCAAAGCTCTCTGAGCCTGTCGTTCTAAATTGCCTTTCCCATTCACTACGAGTGCAAGATCATCAGCATAGCTGAGGAGCTGTGTACCACTATGAAAGGGAAGGCTCACAAGTTTTTCCTCATAAGGATGTCAACCAGGGTAGGACTGAGAAAACACCTCCTTGTGGCATAATACCGTTTTCCAGGGATTATAAAGGAAGAGTAGTGTCCCAGAAAGCTGACACAGGCCTGCTGCCCCTAAGTAGGACTCTATCCAGGCCAGGAGGCGTCCTTTGATGCCCTTCCGAGCGATATTGCCAGATTGCTGTGGGGCTGGCTAGCGTCAAGATGCCTTTTCGAAGGTCGAGGTAGCGACCAATACTAGGTTTTTTTGTTACTGTCAGCAATTCTGGCTTTAGTAAGTGGTTTATTGCACCTCTGCAGTACCCACTCCTTTGGTAGCCAAAATTGATGATTAGAGGGTCCAAGTTTGCCATAGGAGGCGGTTAACACATCCTCTCAGCAGTCTTGGCGAAGCAGCTGTCAGCGATATGGGTCGCTCATACTGCCTGGACCGTGGGCTTTGGAATTGTACATGGTAGCTTTCATCCAAGCTGCTGGGAGTGTCCTGGCCCTCCTACGACAGTTAATGACTCTAGTATGGCCTCCCATCCACTCTGTGCCCAGCCTGTGCAATCAGTGGTATGTAACACCATCGATCCCGGGGCAGTGTCACCTGTGTTCTTAATGGCACTCTGAGTTTTCCAAGTCCGTGAGTCTTCATCATCACATCTTCCGACTCACATGCAGCTTGTCTCGTTTTAGCTGCGCTGTGGCAGAAGATCCGTCTGTATTTCCGGATGTCCTGTGGACTGAGTGGAGGCTCCCCGTGGAAGTGAAAAGCTCTACTAGTTTCTCGGCTTCCGGATGGGTTCGGGTGTGCTGTGGCCTCCGCCTTGCCTCTTGCCAGTGCTTAGTTGAGCTTGCCCCATATCTCAGATAAGGTGGTGGATGCCGCGTAATGTTGAGGGCACGCGCTCCAGCCATTGCTCAGTTTTTACTCTGAGAGTGAGTCTGCGGGCATGCTGCACAATGCTCTCAGAGTAATTCCTGTTCTCTGCCGTAGGGTTACGCCTGTATAGCTTCCCGAAAAGGTTGATGCGGTGGGGGGTTTTTTCTGCTCCCGCACCTCGTTCGTTGTTAGGAACCAACATCTCTTTTTGTGAGTAGTGCGTCCTGCGGACTTCTTTGGAATTGCGCACTCTGGCTGGCCTGGATGAGACAGTGATTAGCTCCCTGTTTCAGAGCCGTATCACAGTCTTCCAGAGAGAAGTATGTGGACCACACATTATGAAGATAATCCTAGAACACCTCCAGTTGGTCCCTCTTTACGTCCCATCTAGGAGGCAGCACAACTGTGGGAGGCCTGTTGATTGTTGAAGGTGGTGATCACTGGCCAAAGGGTCACTGGTCAAGGTGAGGATGAGTTTTCCCATGTGGGCTCTGCCTGCGAGTTGTCTTGACTCCGAAGGTAAGGTCGAGGCAGCCACCCAACAGTGTGTGGGTCTCCATTGTTTTAGCAACTTTACCTCTGAAAGCGTGTAGGAGCATTGCTATATGTCTGCCAGCAGCATTGTTTTACTGATGAGAGTTTGGCAGAATAGGGGTGGATGGGCGGTGAAATTTCCACCCACAATATTACACCATGCATGCCTAAGTGCGAGGAGCTGCTGCAATGTCGAGGTGTGTCTTGGGTTTTGTAGATGTATAAATGGTAATGGGCGCCCAGGTATGTGCACAAGGATGGCCTGTACCTCGACATCCTCCCCACAGCCCACAGGGTTGGCTATAACCTCGTGAGGTATTGTATTGGATACAAATACAGCTGTGCCTCTGCAGTGAATGCCCGGGTCCATGTGCCGAAAATACCCAGCAAAACCGGGTAGTCTTGGGCACATAGTCGGGACAGTCAGAGTTTCTTGTAGCAAGACGATGTCAACCCGATCCCGAATTACTGCCTCCAGCAAGAGGTGCTGTTTGCCCTCAAGGGCCCCGAATGTTCCATTGTAGGACCTTGAGGGTGTGATTTGGTACCGAGGTTATTCCATCGCTGTTGTTTCCTGAGCTGGAGACTGAGTCCTGCCCCCTCTGAGAACCTGCAAATTCATGGCATCCACTGTCTCCTCTTCGGGCAGAAAGCACACTCTTCAGGAGAGTACTGACCATCTGCCGGAATGCGCTCTGTTGTTCCGTGGAGTTGATTGTGTTGCAAAAAAAATCCGGGGAAAACCTTGAGGGGTGGGTACGAGATCCCCCCTGGTGAGGGCCCGCTTTGGAGATGGGGTTTGAAAAAAAGTGGGTATTAAAATTTTGGGGTGCTGTGGTCGTGGGAAGTGAAAGGGTTTGGGTTTTTTTTATTGTAAAGACCGTGGTTCTGTTTCTGTTTACCAAAGGGGGGAGTAGCCGGGTTCTGCCCGTGAAAGGGGCCAGTTTAGTCGGGAAAGGCCTGTGCCGGGTAAGGAGGCCCCGGCGGGTTTTCGTGCTATGGCCGGTTTGGGGGGTCGTTTAGTGCAGCCCCCGCTGATCGATTGACCCCATGCACCCCGTTGACGGGCCCCCGTTCCCTTGTTTCTGTTTCTTCATTTAGGAGGGGTGCCAGGAGGTTTCCCCCAAACCCTTTACACCGGTTGAGGCTTCTAGGGTTGGGAAAATTTCCGGGCATTGACTTGGGTTTTGTGCTGGGGAAAATCTCGGGGATGGGCCCGGGGTTTCCCGCACCCCCCCCGGTTGATGATTCCCTCTAGCCTGTTGCGAAATTTTTTTTCGGGCTTCCCCGACTTCTTGGATTCTGGGGACCCCTCGGGGGACGAGGATTCCAGGGATGGTGTTTTTGCCCGCAGTTCGGGCATTTGGGGGAGTGGGGGGGGGGTGCATTTTTTTAGCTGGGATGCATTCCTCGGGAGGGTTTGGGGCTGGCTGCAGACACCGCAAAATTTCTCTGTTGGACGAAAATGCCCCAGGTGTCCCTAACCCCTTTACACTTGAAAAGCGAACTTTTTTCTGCTGGAAAGGGCCTGAAAGACCTGCCCCCAAAAACCGAGGGCCCGCTGGGGTGGCAGGTGGGCCTACATGCTGAATGAGGCCTGTTTGGGTTGGTGGGTTTTCCTGCCGTCTTTTCCTTGAGGGCGTTGAGGCTGACCCACACTGGGGTAGTGCTACTGCCTCGATGGGCATCCCCCAGCGGGGATGCATTTACTACAAACCCCGGGGGATCTTTCTGCCGAAGTCCAGTTCCTCCAGGGGAATGAGCATCTGTCCCCCATGACTTCTTTTAAGGTGGTATACATTTCCTTGTTT